AACGACACACATCCGCTATTCCCCTCTCGAAAGAGAGATCCTCGCGCATCCGGCGAACTGGCTTGTTAAATTCGCGCGGATCGATACGCGATCTTTCACGGGCCACGGAATTTTAAGCGTCGCGAAAAATTTCTTTCCGCGTCGTGACGTAGTCAGCTCAGTTTATGTGATTACTTGATGAAGAAACGGGGGGGATTTCGAGTGAGCTGACACTTGGCAGGGAGAATCAAATCTGAGAATTTTTGGAGGTTTGGAAGGAAATATTAGGACGAAATCTTTGGATTTTGGAATTTTCGGGGAAAATTCTGGGACTCTGAGATCTTACAATTTGAGAACATTGGGATCTTGGAATACTGAAATTTTAATCTTTGGACTTTGGAACCTCCGAATCTCGGAATTTTCGAATCAAATTGTAGGGCTCTAGGATCATAGAATTTGAGAGCTTTAGAATAAGATTATAGAACTTAGGGACCTTGGAATTTTGGAATTTTCGAACTAAATTTTGGGACTCTGGGATCTTAGAATTGGAGAACATTGGGATCTTGGAATACTGAAATTTTAATCTTTGGATCTTGGAACCCTGGAATCTCGGAATTTTCGAGTGAAATTTTGGAGATTTGGGACCTAAGAACCTTAGAATAAAACATGGTCTTGGAGTTTTCAAATAAAATCACAGAACTTTGGAATCTTGAAATTTTAATCTTTGGATGATGGAACCTTGTAATCTGGAACTTTCGAATGAAATTTTGGAACTCTTGGACCTTAGAATCTGAGAACTTGGAGACCTCGAAATTTTGAATCTTCGAATAGAAATGATCAATTTAATTCCAAGAAACGGCAAAGGTGTACGAAGAAGTTCAGCACGAAAATTGTCGGTTCGTCGATAGAATTTGAAGTTCCAATCTTCGAAATGGTGGTTTTGGTGTTAATTGGTTGGCAGGTTCGTATGGAACAGTGGTATTGTTCAGAGAAGTACTGAGAGTAGGGTCTTAGTGGAGATCTGTGGTATAAGTTGTTGTTAACTTAACGTAGTTGTAGGTGGTTTCTAAAGTGCATCTTTGGTCTAGCATAGATTGCTAAGTTCATTTCTCTCTGAGCTACCGTTTGCATTGTTATATTCAATTCCATTATCTACGTAACATTCAACAAAAAAAAAAAACACAAAAAATCTTTCAAATTTGCAAAATACCTAAACAATTAACCCCAAAAGACCTTCATTCTCTCCTCTCCCCTCCACAATTAAAAAAACCAGTTCTCCCAAATAATTCCTCGTCACATCTCGCGAAGTACCTCCCGGCACGATTAGTCTGCCTCTGTAAATAATATCAGCATAAATCGATCCGTAGAAATGTGAACAATTCACCGGTAAAGTACACTCTCCCGGCAGAGCCATAATTTCTTGAGAAATTAATACCGAGGATGCTCGAGTCGAAATCCGGGAATCCCGGCAATGCAGACATATAAAATGATTAATCCTCGATCGAGGCGTACAGCCGGGATTATTCGGCTGCATATTTTCAGATCGACAGGAACATAATTCCGCGCATTGTACGAGAGACGTCCACGGTCCCGCGAAAGCTGATTACGTCGCTGATTAATTATTGATCAACGGAAAACGGCCATTTCCATAATCCAAATACGCCTCTCTCTCTCTCTCTCACTCACTCTTTCATTCACTCGCTGCTCTATTCAGCTTAGCGTTTCCGGAAGCGACGTCGTTGCTCCATATTTATCGAGGAGCTCGTGAAAATCGCTCACCGATTCGACGCGCCTCGCAGCTTCAACAGAATGTCTTAAACCGTTTTAATCCAGAGCGAATTCTAACGCGTCTCCGCCGCGGAAATTAGATTTAAACGCGCCACTGCCGCCATTTTCCTGTATCCGCGAAATGGAGCGATTAACGCGCTACTTGACGCGAGTCGTGCTCTCTGGCGAAGAGCGCAATTCACGTCGAAACCTCGAGGAATTGTTGGAGCCTAGAATTTCGTGTCAATTCCCTCCTTCGTTTTCCTGTTAGAGCGTTGCACTTTCTTGGAGTGCCTGAATATTGCAGTCTTTTTATCTCGCCTCAATTCTCCTTTATTTTACCGTCAGAGCGTTGCAGTTACCTCTGAGTATCTTGATGTTGCAATTTTTAATTAGCCAATTGATCAGTTGCGAAATTTGGTAATTTCTTTATTTCGTGCTTTTCTTTTTCTTTGGACCGAATTTGTGAAAAATTGTGTTGCTCTTGTTCGACGTAATTGCCAGTTTGTCCGTGGAATATTCTGCGTGTCGAATTTTATCGAGCGCAGATTCGACGAATTGAAATTTATAGAAGATGAATTTGTGCGGTGAACGGGGACTATCTGTACAATCATTGGTAATTCATGGAGGAATGAACCGACAATGGGAAAAGGGTAACAATTGAATTTTCACGCGGCTTTCTATTGTAACTTGGAAATTAATAAAGGAAGAGGAAATGTACGGAAGTCTCGTAAAGCTGTACATAATATTCCATCGGATTTTTATATTCGGCTAGGGACCACTTGTGAAGTTATACACGGCTCGTCGATAAATGCCGAAATCGTGAGTAAAATATTCGTGACAATAAAAAGGAGCGCGAAAATGTAATCTACTTTTGTGAAGTTTTACTGGCCGGTAGAAAGTGTACATCGAATTCCAGCAAGCGCTCGGATCACAATTCAGGATATTAATAAGAAGGGACAAGGGAATTTTTGCACAGAAATGAAAGTAGTAAAAGATGCACGGAAGTGCCTTCATTTTTCACAAAATAACACAATTCGAAAAGTGAATGAAAAGAGACAAATTCTTCCGAAATCTTGTTTCATTTTTCACAAAATATATGAAAATTCGCGAAGAAAGACAAACGCTAGATTCTCTCTGGAATACAGAAATCATTGCAAAGATGCACGCAAGTGGGCTCATTTTTCACGAGGTCCACGTTGAAGCACTACGAAACGTTTCTGTGCGCGAAAACGTCTAATAAATTTGAAGGAGGGCCAGCATTAGCCGGCACTCTGCCGATCACTGTAATTACACGCGGGGACAAGGGATTCGTTTCTGCTCTTGAAGACAAGAGAGCCAGCCAGGCCAGCCCGTTGCAGTAAATTCGACGTTGCGCCACGTCGTGTTCGTGTGCTAGCTGTTCCTTATTCCGTTCGATGATAATTACAGGCTATGCCGGTTGCCTTGTCGTCGTTGCAGCGATTCGCCTGGGCCAATTTGAAAGTCCGAAACGTAGAAGTGGCCTCCACTCGTGTCGTGTTCCACTCAGAAAGTCCCGTTATCCTGCTAATTGCGAAATATCATTTCGCTTTAATTGTATACTCGTGCCAAAACGCGACGGCGACGACGAGAGAGAGAACGGTGTGACTGGCTGTTGTCTGTGAACCCTTTGGGAAAAGGGTAAAGGAGAAACACGCGAAAGTAGGGAGGAAATGGCATCGAGTCGGAAAAATTCGATTCTCGCGAAGGGAATCGCGGTGAATAGATGATTCGCCCATGAGAACGCGAGTTTTTTCGTCAAAGCGCCAACCAATTTGCATGGAAATTAAAATATTACCGCGTCGCGGTAACTGGATATTGTATAATACATCGATGTCGCGGACCTTTACGACGAGAAATTTCGCATTTTTCATTTCGAGAGGTGAATTTTAATTAGAAACCCTGAATTCCGGCTGATTTTCTGGGAAAAATTGACGGGGTGTGGTTTTAGAGCGTTTAGAGTGTTTCTTGTAAGTATAGCGAGAACGAGATGAACAAGTAAACAAAAATAAGAGCGTGTTATTGTCTGGGCTAGTGGTGTAGTGGCTCGAGCGTCTGACTACCACCCGCGCGACCCGGGTTCGATTCCTGGATGGTCGAAAATGGTCTTCTGTTCTGGATATTAATTTTCTGTTCTTCTTCTCTCTTCTACTGATTCTCTGACGTCGTCAACGTCTTCTATCGTGTGTTTAATTAATTGGGAAAATTGTTTGAACGAACTTCCCTCTTATTATTCGAACTCCGTAAGTAGACAAATATATTTCGGTTTCGAATTTCCTTGGGTTTCTTCGGTTGATTGTTGTGGGTTCGAATTCTCTCAAAAATTCTTCCTATCCAATAGGAAAAGGAAATAAAACAGTTTCAAAATTCAAGAAGGAAAACAATACCGAAGTAACGAAAATTACGACACAAACACACAACAAGCTCGCAGAGTATAAATACTCTGGAATTCACCGAGGAACCTTAGGCGTTCCAGAAATTATCCATCGATCCTGATCTCGCTCGAGGTGGTCAGTAGTTCCAGATCACGGGGCGAAGCGAGTTTTCTTCCCGCAGCAGGTATTTCAGATATTATCCTCGAATTGTTACAAACTGGCACATGAACTATCACGCGAACAACGTTTCGAATCCCCCCCCTTCATTTTTAACCGAGCAGCCCTGAATTTTATGCACGTGATGAGCGATCGTTTCACGCTTTCTGTGACCGCGTCGAAGGCTGCTTTTGGCGCAGAACGAGGCTCGGGCATGAATTTTCGTGACACCAGACGCGACCTTCAATACTGGGAATGCTAAAAATGCAGGCAACATTTCTGCACACTCTCGCTATGTATACGTCCAGGCTCCAAGCTTATTCACGAGAATCCCCGGTGGAGGGAAATGAGATGGGTTTGCTTTAATTGGCTCGAAAAGAAACAATTGTTTCCTTTACTTTTATCACCATCCTCTCTCTATTTGTTTTTTACCCCTTATTCAAACTACCAGCTTTGTTACTGCTTCTGAGTCTGCTGATTACGTTGAGCGCGGATTACTCGTTGTTACGTAACAATCAGGAGAATTTCACCGTTGGATTTGGTACAATATCGTGTGGAGTGTGTTTGTACGGGAGATGATTGAAAGGCGTAGAATAAACCGAGAATTTTTTTCTTCCTCTTTTTTTTTTTTATCAACCAGTAAGTTAATAATAGATGAAGCATAGAGGGGCGTATAATTCAACGGTATTTCCTCTGTTGCAGGATGACACACGTATAATGAAAGTAGGAGACAAGAAGAGATGGATACACGATCCCAACAGTGAGTACTCTACAAAATACTATCAGAAACGATAATATAAAAAAACGAAGAAATAGAAAAATATTGATAAATACTTCAAAATATGAATCAACATGTCGTATCTTCAAAAAAAAAAAAATAAGCGATCTAACGTTTAAAAAAGAATCTCTTCGTTGTTTCAAGTTGAATTTTCAGATAGCATTACTACCAACTGCATTGCATCGTTCCAATTTGAACCCGCGGCCAAATTTCCCATTCTTTCCATCGCAAAAACCTATCCATCGACGCTGTGATTCGATAACCGCGATATTGACGATTCGCATTCCCGGAAATTTATCAGCGAGAACCGATTAAAATCTATCTGGTTCGTTCAACTGGAAGCCAATTCGTTCACTTCACCTCTCTCTCTCTCTCTCTCTCGCTCTCGACCATGTGTTCCCTTTTTATTCTCGGGCTAAATAGCCAATTACTACGAAGTTCGGGGCTAACCCACTTCTTGAAGTGCAAATTCTGTCGCCGGAGGAGGGAAGAAGAAAAAAAGAGGGGAGGGAGAAAAAGGAAGAAAGGGAGCAGCATTAAAGTTTCCTACGGGGGAAGTTGGAGGAACCTTTGGTACGCAAATTATGCAGTATTATGTTAATCGGTCCGCGGGATACGTAACTTTTCCCCTTTCCTTCCATGCCCACCGTTTCGCAGTACTGTAACGAAACTTGCCTCTGATTAACTCTTACCTGCACGTGGAACGATCCGGCCATTTTTCACACGATCTTACCACGCTTGAAATACGGTACATTTCGAACTTCGAATGAATTTAACGGAGGCTGTTAAAGTCTTCGAATTTCTTCCACTTCTTTTTTACACGTTTCGTAGATTCTTCCAAGTCCTCGAGTATCTCGTTTGGCACGATCGTCTCTCTGCGACAGTTTTTGGGAGTTAGAATTTCAGTCCCCGAATTTCTCGAACGTTTTCATCTTCTTTTATTATGTAGGAGGTGGTCTAATGAACTTTACTCAAATCAGGATGTCGTGCAAAGTAGTCCGTCTATTACCGAAGCCAAGAACCGACTCCCGTCGAATGGCAAAGATATATCGCTGGGCCGAACCGACGGGTACTCCGGGTCTGGTGTTTGTCACTCGCCAAGAGGCGCAGGCCAAGCCATAAACCGTCCCAAAAAGCCTACAATTATTTTTTTAATTCCTCGGAATCTTCGAGTTTCTCGAGTATCTTGCTTCGTTTTCGAACTTTTTCAACTCGGAAAGTGGTGAGAAAATTGATCGAAGAATCGATCGACAGAATTTTGTAAATTTCCGACGGAGGATCGAAAATTGCCGTGTTCTACAGGGTGGAAAACAGTTGTGCACCGTTTTTGTTTCGGTGGCGGCGGATTTATCGGCGGGAAAAAAGCATAAATCCCGCGGCGAGCGTAATATCAACGCGTTCTGTCATTTGTGCAGAAAAAACCCTATGAAAAGTATATTTATCGTGTTTTCTCGTCGCGAGACCGAGCAATATGTTTCCGCCGGCGAGCACGTTTAATGTACACAATGTGGCTGCGTCGATTTCATAAATATTCAACAATTCGCTAGGCACGAATGTTATCCGTGAATAAATTCGTCCCGCTCGACTTCCAACGGCTAATTAATCATTTCTTTCTGTTGCTCGTCACTTGATCGACTCGATTTCACCGATCGACGATACCGTTTGCATTCGTAATGAAAAGTAGAAGCAGTCTCTTATTTATAAAAATCTCATTTTTCATTCTTTTTTTGAAATATTAAAAGTACTATTTCACTCGTCGATCTGCCCTGTAGTATAAATTAATGCATTTTTCAGATGTTAGTAAACGTGCAGGAACGAGGAGAATTTTTAAGTACATTTCGCCAACGCCGGAATATTTTTACAAATCATATATTTCCCATGTAATATGCGCAACAGTGCGAACATTTGTTATTCGCGGTGGGAATTTCGGTGATATTCGAGATATTCTGTTTTCTTTTTGTTTACGATAATTAAGGCAATTGTTAAGTGTACGAAACTATTTTTTATAATGACAGTTTATCTCGTGAAACTCGGGCAGACCGTCAAATATCTAACTGTTTAACTCAGGAGAGACTTAGGAAGAAAATTAGAAAGGGACGAAATATTGTTATCGTAACTATTAAAAAGGTATAGTTGGGGCCATGATATAGCGAGGTCGTAAATTAAACTCTCAAGAATCGGCATTGATTGATGTTGCGGCACTCAAGGACGTGTGTTGCAGTCTGTTTGAGGGTTCCAACAATAAACGAATGGTAGCATATGATTTGGTACTTCAAGTAGAAAATGGTATTTCATTTACAAATGGAAAATATGTTAATATTAAAGCTCTTGTGGAACAGACTGTATTAACGAAAACTAAACACGAAAATAAACTGTCTGTCATGTCTATGTCATGAACTAACCTTCGAGAATCTTTAATTACGGTGTTCCGTATCGGACGGAACAGGTTGAATTTTCATTGGGGAGAAAATTTCATTCGACTAATTTATTCATCTTTGCTTACCAGATATACGAATGGAAATATAATTTCGGTGTATTTAGCAGATTAGAAGGAGATGCAGGGAGAAGTGGCGCTATGTAGTTAGACACAGCAGTCTGCCATTACGTTCTAACCAACTGAGGAGATGTCGATTGTTAATTGATCGGTTGCTAAGTGAAATCAGACGACGTGTGTGGCATGTCGTTACCAGTTGTAGCAGGGATAATAGATGTGCGTCATTCCAGTCCAAGTAGGTTAATTTTCCTGGTAAACGAAGATCGATAGAGCCCCTGTGATAAGTGTTATTAATTGAACCTTTTTCTTCTGCGAGATCTGATTTTATCCAGATGCTCGTACCAACGTTTCACCTGTGTTTTCATTTCCTCATTTTTCCACCTCGCGTTTCCTCGTACTCCCTTGTCTCTTCTGTGTTATTTTCTCAGATCATATTCCACCACCGTTTTTCTCCGACTTTTTATGCTTCCCCGGTTCATATTTTGCCACTTTATCTCGTTCTTATATTTTACCTTGGCTCGTAGTTTTCCTACCTTTTCTCCCATTTTTTTTTTTTTTTGATAAGTTTTCAGTTTGTAAGTTTCTTACGTGTTTATTTTTTGGTGCGTTTGATTTGCGTTGTAGAAACTGTTTCCCTGATTTTCTCGAAATTTCTAATTTCGGCTGGAATTGTAAGAGACGAGATTTCTTACGTGTCAGATGAAAAATATGGAAGAGATTTGCTCTTTGAAAAATTCTAAAATTGGGAATTATCAGTTTCAAATTCTCTCTATTCTCAAATCTCTTGATAAAATTTCACTGATTCGAGGCTTAAAAGGAAAGTAAGAAATTCACAGGAATTCACTTAGATAATTCCCGAAATTTTCCAGTTTTCAATTTTCCACTCGAATCCCAAGACAATGTCCCATTTTACTCATATCGTGCACGATCACTTTGACCACTGAGTACATTTTAATTTCTCCTCAGGTCTGTGTGTGTGCTCGTATTCCTTTTGATTTTGCACACGCGACGCCCCAATACCGGCAGCAGTTTTCCAGCGAATTTATCCCGCGATAGCGCGGTGCCGCGTCTTTGTAATGGCAGCGAGGACCGGGAATCGGTATTGCGTTCTCAAAAAGAAAGGGATTCCGTTTTGAATCGTTAGCCAGAGCGCGGAGGGTTGGGCCGCGATTGCACGAGCGAAACAAATGCGATTCTTTTGTAAATTGCGCGGTTAGATCAGTCTGGCGAGCGACACACAAAGAATGAATGTAATCGTGTGCACTCGTTCCGTTATTGCTACGATAACAATTCCGCAGTTTTATCTTTTACTATGCCGTCCGTCATACTGCGGCCTTACTATGCCTAACTCTCTCTCTCTCCGTGTGCACTCGTTCCGTTATTGCTACGATAACAATTCCGCAGTTTTATCTTTTACTATGCCGTTCGTCATACTGCGGCCTTACTATGCCTAACTCTCTCTCTTTCGTGTACGTGTGTGTGTGTTCCTTTTCTCCCTCCCCGTTTCGTTTCGCTCTCTTTCTTTCTTCTTTTGGCTGTGTTTTTTTGCGAACAGGTAATGCACAAACGTTATCGTAGGTATTTTGTTCATCGAGGACCAGAGGTGTATTCGTCGAATTTTTCATGCTCGACGATGATTCTACTTTAACCTGTTGGTTGATGGTTTTTAAGTGAAAAGTTGTTCTGTTCTTTTTTGTAGTTTTGGAATTTGTAAGTTGAAGTAGTGTTTCGTTGTATTACCCGAGGATACTTTTGGAAGAGTGTGTTTTCGGATATTGTTTAATTAACTAACACTTCACTGTCGCGCTTCGAAAGATAATTTGAGAGACGTGATTGTTATCGACGAGAGCGTGTGGAAAAGAAGGGAGAGTGAGTGAGAAAGAGGGTGAAAGAGAAAAGAAAGAGAGCGAAAAGGGCGGAGAGACGAGGATAAAGGGAGAGAGACACAGAGAGTGCGAGTGTGAAGAGATAAAGAAAGAAAGCGAAGGAGAGGGAGGAGAGATGATAAAGAAAGAAAGCGAAGGAGAGGGAGAGATAAAGAAAGAAAGCGAAGGAGAGGGAGGAGAAAGAACGAAAGAAAAGGAGGAGAAGAGTGCAGAAAACGTAGAGGGAGAGACACAGAGAGCGCAAAAGAGAAGAGATAAAGAAGGAAAAAGAAAGAGATAGAGACACAAGAAGAGTGCAGAGAGCACGCGACAATCTTCAACAGAGAGACAGAGAGAGTAAACGTACACAGAGTAAAGGGTCGAGAGTGAGAGTCTACCGAGAGCGGCGCGTAGAATCGTCGATATGCCGCCGCAATTACTTTGTCCCCTTTCGCCGGAAATAACCGCAGGACCGGCCACGTTGATTCGAAGCTGGTCATAATAATAGGCCCGTTGGTTCCAACCCTTTGTGCTCCATACATCGTTGCGTTCTTCTTGCTGCGGCCGAAAGTAAGCCGCGTATACGCGAGAGCAGCAGCAGAAGGAGGAGAAAGAGGGGGCGG